AGAACCCAGCCTACCTCACCAAGCCTGGCCATTTATAAAATCGGTCCTTTTCTACAGTATAATGTAGGATGCAGTCATAAACTCTAAAAAGCCCTGCATGTATATATAAATATTTACAATTACATATTAGTTTGATACAACTTCAATTCCTATAAACTTCAATTTTTTGATAGCTTACATTAGAAACTATAAAATATTTTAAGTAGTTTTTTCATGTGGATCTGTGTTACATACATATTCTCTTTCACACAGTCCATAGTATTTAGACTGAAAATACTGTACAGGAATAAAAGAAAGCCCAAATTGGGACATCCTTAAAAATACCTTTCACAACTGAACTGCAATGTGTAGTAAAGGTTTCACTGCCATCTGGCTGCATTTAGAAAATGTAACATAGCAAGGAGACAATCATATACACTTAAAGTGTTTAAAACAAAAATCACAAAGACTAGTTGTTTGACAAAATTGAGACCAACAAAAAGAATCCAAAAGTAATGTAGCAATTCTGCAGAGTGAAATAACTCTATTAGCCTCACCAGGGACAGTTTTGAAACTATGAATCCAATGGATAGTCTTTTCAGCCCACAGCAGAAAGGCATGGGGGAATTCAGGAAATTCCCTATTCCTAGGGATATAGATATGTCCCGTAGAATATATCTATATATCCTATATATATATATAAAATATATCTCCTATAGATATATATATATATATCCTATAGATAGAAAGGTATATAGATAGAAAGACATAGGAAAACATAGGAAAAATAGGGGGGGAAATACATCATAAATGGAATGGGCAGAGGGTATTAAAGACAATAAGTCTTCTGTTCCAAGACAGAAGACCAGGTCAGGCCGAGCATTGACGTGTTTTCCCATCCATCCCATTGTCAAAAATTGTTCTTTTCATAAGGCAAACGCTTCTTTCTTGGCCTGACCATTTATAAAGGAGTCTCCTTCTGCCTCTACTTTCAGCGTGCTCTAAGATCCGCTTTAATAGCAGGATTCGACTGGATGCTCTGCAGAGGGCCCTCCCATCCCCAAGCACCCCGTGACTGTCGGAGGACCGCGGCTGTTTGCAGGCCGCCGGGCTGCCCGCCGTGTTCGCCCTCCCTGGCTGTGCCAGGCGGGAACGAGGGGCGGCCCCCCGGCTCCTCTGAGGGGGCCGGGACCTCCCGCGCCGGCCCCGGCCCCGCCCGCCCGTG